CCACGCCTGGTATAAGCCATGCAAGTAAGACTTTCCAGCATGGCTATACCTGTATAAGGACTGACAAAACTCTTCGGCTGTGTCTACACTGGGCCACTTATTCTGGAAAAGCAGCCGCTTTTCCGGAATAGGCTGCAAGCGGTCTACACTGGCCCCTTGAATTTCCGGAAAGCAAGGACGATTTACTGTAAGAAATCAGCTGCTTTTCCGGAAAAACTATGCTGCTCCTGCTCGGGCAAAAGTCCTTTTTCCGGAAAACTGTTCCGGAAAAGGGCCAGTGTAGACAGCACAGTAGTCTTTTCCGCAAAAAAGCCCCGATCGCGAAAATGACCATCGGGGCTTTTTTCCGGAAAAGGGCTTTTCTGGAAAAGCATCCTGCCAATGTAGACGCTCTTTTTCCGGAAATACTTATAACGGAAAACTGTTCCGTTTTAAGCATTTCCGGAAAAAGGTGCCAGTGTAGACACAGCCTTCTAGTATAGACCAGGCCTCAGAATGTCAGGATCCCTTTATTATGTGGCTCACAGCAGCTGCTTTGTCAGCCTTCCGGGAAAATATAGCTCCCTATAGCACAGGACAGCAGATAGCTGAAAAAGCAATAAGGTTTGACTTGCCACTGCTGGACACCATGCTTTGATCAAGAGTCTTTTGTCTGAATGGGGGACATGAATACCAAGATTTGCAAAGAACATTAAAGTTTTAGAAACCTATTATGCTTTTAAATATTTTGTTTCTTCACACACTAATATTATGTTGGGCTTCTCGTTATAGCAAAAGCAATTCCACGATGCTTCAAGCAACACAGCCTTTAGGAAGACAAGTTATTAATTTTATAGGTGAAACAAAGCACACTTTGAAAAAAGTCCTAAGGCTGTATTTTCAAACTTCCTGTAAATCTTGTATCTGTGGATCGCTTAATAAATAATGGATAATATAATTAAGTAACTGACTTAATTTCCTTAAAGGAGCAGTAATGAAGTTGTTCATATAGCTGTTAATTTTTTGAAAGATTATCTATGCAAAATAAATGCCTTTAGACAAGTTTTAAAAATTGCCTTAAGACAATCTTAGCATTAGAAATTCCAAAAAGTAAGGGGAATGGCAACTAAAACAGTACACACAAGACGTTTTTCTTTAAAGAACAGAAAACTGTGAATAAGAGTCATTTGGATAGGTGATGATGGAGGACCAAGAGGTCATACACAAAACATTAAAAGTAATTCTTGATTATACTAAAAGCCAAAGAAGAAACAACATCAACAAAATGTGGTAATGCAGGAGTATCTGTACTGGTATCTAGGAGTGACACTTGTTCCATTTGTTATTCTTCTAACAAGCCCCCAGGTCAAATTCTTCCAGGTGAAATATGACTGAGTTTAATGGAGTTACAACAGGATGACTCTGGCCTTTTGAAGGCATACACCAATGTCACTCTATTACAAAACAGTGAAGTCCTAATTCTACCAACGTTTAAAAGAATATTAACACCAATTCCACACTAGAAAAAAGCTGAAACTAAAACAAAATTGCCAGATTCTGCCACCTTTGCTCATAACTGACCACAAGTATTCCACAATTACCTGAGAGCTTACCTCTCAGTCAATAGGTAAGACATGGACTATAATATAATTGAAGAATGTACTTTTTTTTTTTTTTTAAAGAGTTAGGAAGAACCTAAACTGATAACTATACATTTGCTGTCATTTTAGCATAGGAAATGTAGCAATGACCACTGTTTAATTCAAAGAAAACAAACAGAAAGCTCATCCACAACGTAAACTAGTGATGGGCAGTCTAGGCTATTGAGTGGGTCGCAAGATTGTAACCAAGACAGTCTCTGAGGATAGGGTAGTTTTGCTAACTGCGCGTGCATAGCGAGGATTTGTGGGATGTGCCAATTGAACCAGAGCAGTGCTGCCATTGGTGGCAGAGGGAGTGCCAATATTTTGTGCAATTACATGCACCTCAGTTCACATGCCCTTCCTTTTTATGTATTTCATGTTAGTAATAGCGGTAGGGGAAAAACAACTATGCAGACAGAAACCAGCAGAATCTGGCAAACAGGCAATAAACACAATGTCTTACATGGGCCAGAGAAAATCCAGATGGACTGCAGGCTGCTGATATAAAACATGGTCACATCTGGCAGAACAGATAAATATACAAAATCTGTTGGTGGGACAGGGTGGGGGACGGAGGAACAACATTTGCTCTGGTCATCAGTGAAAACATGATTGCTACTGGTGCACTGAATAATTTGCCACTAAAATGACTAATTTTTCTTCCATGAAATTTTTGATATCCCAACTAGGACTTCTCACATAGGCCATGTTTTACAAAATGAAATTTCACCTGATGAGGCTAACACTCTCAAGAACTTCAGACAGCAGGTGCAGATCTGAAATTGGTTTATAAATTGGAATATCAGAATTTTAGAATAGGTTCTCTCAAGAATGGATTAACCATGTCAAGTTTAAGCAATAAAAATTCAAGCCAAGAAAGGAGCTGATGGAGAGATTACTGGTCAATGTAGGTGAAGTCAAGAGCGACTGTGTATCATCTAATTGACAAGTATAGCACAGACTACTGCCAGTAATACTGTGGTGTGCATAGTAGACTAATCATGTTATGGCATCTCTTTCCAGAGTAGCAAGGAAGGTAAGAAAAGGGGAGACTAAAGGTAAATAATAATATGCAAAAAAAAATCATCTTAAAAAGAGTACAGGATAAAAAGAACAGTTTATACGGAGGCTACCTACTGTCCGAGTCAGAACTACAACAATGGCTGCCCGTCGCAGGGAGCCATAGCCTGTAATACCTCTAAGGCTGGTATAGGGGGCTCTGTCTGTGAGGTGGAGTGTTTTCCATATAAGGGCATGTAAATTAATAATCTTCCCCTGCTCGCTCCACCCATTGCAGTGAAAGATCAGCCAATGGGCTGACTTGTGCTCAGGCCTGCTACTCCACCCACTGCAGCAAAAACCAACCTATGGGGTGATAAGTTCACAGGCAATAAAACAGGCAGGCAGCCCCTCTCTCACTGGGGATTCGCATCGAGTGAACGCCTGGCCTGATCACCCAGACGCCTTGCACCCCCCGCTCTTGAGTCTTACTGAGCGTACTCCGAGTTGGTCGACCCGAGTGGAGACAGTTTATGAGCGTGTGACCGGTACTTGTGTTCCTGCTGTCTCCAGAACTGGTATAACACCCCTTCCCCCCCACCATCATCCCTATCCTAATTGATTTTTTAGTTGTCCTTATTGCTTGCCAAGTGACAGTGGCTAAAAAGTTACTAAGTTAGTTTATAAATAGTTGTGGTTTAGGTTTTTTACTGTTTCCTTGTATAAAGTTGTGTAAATAATCAGCCCTATGGACAATACCAGTGTTAATTCAACTGTTCCTAACCCCTGGGCAGTTATTGGGAATTATTGTGATTTAGAAAAGCCTCAGGGAATTGTTTTGTGTTGTCTGGCAATCTGTTTAATTTTTGTTCTGATGATTGTCTGGTGTCATCAAAATAAAATCAGTTTGTGCTTTTTGAAACCCCCAGTTGTGGTCTCAACCTTTCCGGCATCCCTTTGAACCTCGTGTATTATGGGAACTTACACCTACCACCAACAGTTATTTCAACTATAGCCTCGTAGCTGCATGTACACAATTTACTTTGGCCTCCCCTGCTCACACACTATTATTGTGATGCGAAGACAAGAGAACAATGCTTAAGGGAATATACTTTTTTGTTTGTTTGTTTTTAAGTAAGTGAGCTGTATAACTCAGAGCTATGTGTGGCATAATTACTACAACAATGTAGGAGAAGTGTAATGTAATAAAGACCACATCTTGGGGTAGTGCAGGATGGTGACCAAATATCTGTAATGCATTCTACCTTATTATTTATTGTTATTCATAATTTGTTTTATTGTAGTGCCCAGGGACCTTTATAATAGACCATGACCCCGTTGTGTTATGTGGTTTGCAAACACATAAGAAGATGGTCCCTGCCCAAAGGGGGCTTACAATCTAAGTACATGCCAAAAGAGGACAGATGGACATAGGGGAGTACAAATTATAAGACAATAATGATAGGCAATGTTTTCTGTACATAAAGAACCTAGCCATTGTCAAGATACCTAAGGTTGGTGAAGTAAAGAGTCTGATCCTACATCTGACCAATGCAAAACGAATGGTTGAGAATAGAGGGATAATATTTGGCAACAAAGATTTTAAAATAAGAAAATGAAATGTATCTCCCTCTTTCTGGATGCCAGAAAAATAGGAATAATCTTGATTCCATGATAAGCCTACAGTAAAACAGTTTCTGTGGACTGGCCCATTGGCTTAATAAAATGCACCACACTGCTATGCAAGACAACCAAAGTAAATTGCTAGGTTGGTTTTTGTGCACCACAACCAGAAAGAGATGAAAATGCTGCAGAGATAGTGTGCTCAGCTGCTGGAGCGGGTGGGGAGTGAATACCCATACTGATCAGTAGAAGAAGTTGTGAATAAGTAGTATTCTTATGCTTCATGTGGTATCCTGGCCAGAGTTCTCGGCTGGAAGGCTATTGCTCCATTGTGCGGCCTCAACAAGGAAACAGTGTAAAATAGACACTGGTGTGACAGGGAATCCTCAAAAGTCCAGATGAGAGAGATGATCCCATAGAACAATGCAGGCTTTCCCAGGTTTGGCTTCATTAACAAGAATGAGATATTGTCCTGTGTATGATTTGCTGACATCTGATTGAACCCACTCTTTTCACAGAATAGAGGTGCATCTCTCAAAAACTGTATTTACTTGCAGCAGAGAATTTTCTCTCATGCTGCTACCTCATAGCTCTCATACCAAACAAAATTATCAATAAAAAACTCTTAATGACTTTAAGCCATTATAAGAAACTGTATTTTTCCTTTTCTCCATTTAATTGAACACAGGGTCTGAACTTTACAACCTGTGACACACAGGTGGAAACATTTGATAACCACTGCTGTCGTGCACTTACCTGGGAATGCTAGTTAGATATGTCAGGACATTCTGAAACTCTCTCTCTGGAATCTCGCTGAATGTTGGATAGTCTGGGAATGTGATAACAGGGCAACCATCTTCCCCTCTACCACCTGAAAGCACAAGCAAAAGTACCGATATGTAATTAGTCACCCTATGTAGTTACTATTTCGTGGCAAAACAAAAATTATAATTATTAAAAAAAAATAATGATGTAGTCCTCAAATTGGGGATGTTTACTCAGAGTGATCTAGCTTTCAAGTACAATTTAGGAAATATAATTCACCGTAGCCAGAACTTCCAACTTATTTTATCTTAAATAGAAGGGTCAAGTGTCTGTTCCCACTGTGAACTGGTTTCAACATTAGAGGACTCTGCACCTTCCATACAATTTACTGTATCTGAATGCAAAAATACGCCACATAAAATGAGAACTGGACAAACTATTAAAAATTGTGCCTGCATATTCAGAACCAAATGACCTGAACTAAAAATGAATTGGAAATTTGACCTAGAATGGAGGAAAAACTTGCAAAGGGTTGCAAATGCTCATAACGCTCTTAGGGTATGTCTACACTACAAAGTTAATTCGAACTAACGGACGTTAGTTCGAATTTACTTTGATAGGCGCTACACTAGCGCTCCGCTAGTTCGAACTTAATTCGAGCTTAATACACTAGCGGAGCGCATAGTTCGAACTAAGGGGTGTGTAGCCCCTTAATTCGAACTAGTGGGAGGCTAGCCCTCCCCAGCTTTCCCTGGTGGCCACTCTGGCCAACACCAGGGAAACTCTATTGCCCCCCTCCCGGCCCCGGACCGCTTAAAGGGGCACGGGCTGGCTACGGTGCCCGTGCCAGGTGCAAGCCTGCCAGCACCCAGCCAGCAGACCCTGCAGGGACCAGGCTGGGGGCTCCCGGGAGCTTGCCCGGGACCGCAAGAGGCCTCGTCCACGACCTCCGCACTAGGCACAGGAAAGTGGCCGTCTAGGGCAAGAGAGCTGCCAGACTGGCCACCCAGGAGCAGGTGTGCATGAAAATCAAGGTGGTCTACTGAGACCCCCGACCCTGAGCCCTGAGCTTACAATGGCCGTACTGGGTCAGACCAAAGGTCTCAAGGTCCACTTAATGTGGACATGTTAATTCGAATTAGCAAAACGCTAATTCGAACTAGTTTTTCATTTGTCTCTTGCCATCCATCTCCAGCCTTCCACAAACTTTGGGCAGGGTCACCACTCCTACCCCCTGGCTAATACCACTCCATGGACCCAACCTCCAGCACTTTCTCTCACTTCTCTTTAAACTCTGTTCTAGTTTTAGCCTTCACAGCCTCCTGCAGCAAGGAGTTCCACAGGTTGACGCTTTGCTTTGTGAAGAACAACTTTCTGTTACTAGTTTGAAGCCTGCTACCCATTCCTTTCCTTTGGTGTCCTCTAGTCCTCCTTTATGGGAACTAATGAAGAACTTTTCTGTAGGCACCCTCTCCACCC